TAGATAGATAGATAGATAGATAGATAGATAGATAGATGAGAGAGTAGAGGGGATCTATGTTTCTTTTTGGTGCTCTCAGGATGGACTAAGCTCTCACCTTTTACCACTCTATTCAGAGAAATATTCTTCTTTTCTTTCTCTGAATAGTGGTAAAAGGCAAGACCTTAGTCCATCCTGAGAACACCAAAAAGAAACACAGATCCCCTCTACTCTCTCATCTCTCCAAACAAACAGTTATGCCTGACAAAATTTTCTAAGTTTTTTGTCATTATTTTCCTTTGCATCATTCTTTAAATCCTTTGTTACATGCCCCTAAGTTTTGCCCTCAACTTATCTACGGATCATAACAAAATCCATAGTCTTGGCCCCAAAACCTGCCCTCGACTTATACATGAGGTCAACTTATAGTTGAATATATACGGTAAGTATTTCCAACCTTTTGACTTCCCTGCAAAGAGATCTCCAAAGTTGTTCCTAGCAAGGGTGGCACAAAATCCAAAGCAAGCCACTAGGTTTTGGAGCAGCACTGGTCAAGGTAAGATCTTGGAGCCACATGTGGACACCAAGATGGTCTTTGTTGCCTTCAACCATACCCTCCAAACTGCCCTGAGTTGCCAGGGATGGTCTTGAATACTCCTCTGTTGTCCCATTTTTCCAGCTGCTTTGAAAACGTCCCAGTTTTTCTCTCCTCCTCCCACTTTCACACTTTCTCCGCAGCTTGCTTCAGTTACTGCAAACGGAGTTCAAAGTACAAAGTTTGCAATAAATTAACTCAGGAGGAGGAGATGAGGGGCACAATCTTGTCCTTCCCAGTAGGCTCAGGCAAAGACAAACTGCTGCAATCTCTCCTAGCTTATGTGTTTTCCCTTATTAATAACCTCCGCTATCTTGACCAGACTCTGAGGTTCCTTGGCCACACCTGTCCTGGTTTTTCATCTCTGAAATGTTGGAAAGCCTGCCCTCAAACTGTCCATACTTTGCAAATCACTCCGTTACTGGACCAAAAGGGAAAGAGAGAA